TAATTTCTGCTTCTATTATTTTCTTTTTTGGTGAATTACTTCAATTATTATTTATTTTCACCTTACTTCTTTCTTATAATTTTGTATATAGGGAAAATCTTCCAATTACTAGTGTTTCATATAAAGGAAAAAAATCAAGCGGAGCCAAAACCTGGACCCAAGTGCGGGATAATTCAATAAAAAAATATTTTTTAAAAAATAATACTTTAATAGTTAAAATAATAATTATGTTAGAACTAAAATTGTAATAATAAAATTGATTGATCATCACTTTTTATTACAAAAATCATATTAATGAAATTAATATAATTTTTATCGTAAACATGCTCTTCATATCTTATTTCTATCATTAAAATATTATATATTTAATAAGTTTTTTCGTTCATATTTTTTATTTAGCTCAAAAGGTGTAAAATATTAAGAGTATGAGATGAAAAATTATAATTTATATCAACACAATGTGGCTGAGCCACCGCTCTCAAATCTCACATCAGCAAACTAAATGAAATTTTTTAATGAAATCACGAAATTACTCTTTTTTTCATGCACAAATTAAGTCCTTTATTCAAGTTGTTATTTGTTATATGGAAGATGTCAATTATTGTTAAATAATTATAGTAGCATTGTTCAGTTGATAATTAAGTAGCAATAATTAATATCTATATATAATATTAATTAACAACTTTAATAAAAGGCATGAGACTTTGGAGTAATTTTGTGATTTTATAGGACTTTCTTGTATTTAGGTTGTGAGTATTTTTTCTTATATATACTTTCTTATTTCTATTATAAGTTACATTTAACTACCTTATTAGAATAAGGAGAAGTGATTAAGTCATTAATTTTATCTAGAAAAATAAACTTTTAATTTTATTCATAATTAAATGAAAAAATTGATCAATTTGCATCATATTCTCTTTCACGGTTAATAATATTGGATAATAGTAGAGTTAGAAGGAAAAAAATTAGCATTGAGGATCCAACACGACTGAAGTTTATCTATTTACAAATGAATCATAAACTTATATTTATAAATAGATGAACTTTTAGTTATATTAGGCCCTTATTATTTTTTCTCCTCCGGAGGTTTTCGCTGCCATTCTCCGATAATAATATTAAACAAATATAATTAATATCATCAAGTGTTTTATAACAAAAGACTATCAATTTCTTTCAAAACACGTGGGAGCATATATATATATATATATATATAATGCACTTCTCTTCCACTTAAATTAAAATAAGTCATTTTTTATCTATTATTTCTGATTGGTTAATTTGGTGGTCCAGGTGTACGATGGGATGCCAATGCCATCATTATCCTCCATAGAAAGAAAAGCCTCTCTCAAGGATTTCTATGGTAATGGACTAATGTGTTAGCCTTCCAGTACTTGGTTCGTTTTTAATTTTTTTAATAAAATTACAGTCAAATTCTATATAAAAAAATTAATTATTATAAAATTTATTGATAATTGAATTAAAGAGTTTTAATAACTAATTATATTGTTAATATAGTTTAATTCAATTGTCAATGAACATTACAATAATTAATTTTTCTATATGAGATTTTAATATAATTTTTCCTTTTTCTTTCTCATTTTTTTCTTTTTATCTTTTATTTTTACTGTTTTCTCCCTTCTGTCATTTTGCTCTCTTTGTGATTTATCAGTAGCCTCAATTGATTTTAATTAGGGTCAGTTTAATACACAAAATGAAAATGAAAATAAATAATTAATCAATTTTGTAGCCAAAAAAAAAATCTTCTGCTAATTAAATAAAAAATAATATTTCATATGTATATATTTTGATTTTTTTGCTTCTTTCCAGGTGTGATATACCCATCACTGAAGCTACTTGAAGGGGAGTTTTAAAGCACATGAAGCTAAAGAGAATAATAGAAGCAATGGGACACAATTGGTGAGCAGAAAGAGCCCCAAGAGAGGAGGGTTTGATGATAAAGAACAAGACTTGAGAGATGATGAATGTGGAATCTGCATGGAGATCAGCATGATCATGGTCCTCCCTAATTGTGGCCATTCCCTCTGCATTACCTGCTTCCATGACTGGTAATGTTAACTCTTTTGTTAAGTTGCCCAAGTGTATGCCCAATTATAATCCGTTGTGTTTCTCATTCTTAACGATATCCCTACTGCTATGCTAGTCCTATGTATAAAGTGTTTTACAAAAGTACAAAATGGTCCTAATTATAAGGCGTCGAATAAAAAGATGAAATAATCCTCCAATTTTATCCTTTAATTTGAGAAAACATTTGAATAAATAACAAGGTGACTCTCGATCTTCCTTTGTAATAAGGGTATGATAGGAGAGTTGGATTTTTTTTTTAACAAATAAAACAATACACTCGCTCCGTTCTTAATAATTATAACAAAAACTACCAATTGCTTGATTGTCTCTTTCACAATCAAAACTAAAAAACTTCAAAAAAAAATTATTACATTTTTTTTCAAATTACCACCTCTAATGGATAATATCATTAAATTAGAGGAAAAAGTAAACACAAACTACAAGGTCATTTTAGTTCAAACTTTTTAATTTCAAACATAATTATCAGAATTAACTAATTTTTTTAAATTATGAGAATTGGTTAACTTTTGCTTGTATTTAAAAACTGGAGAGAGTAATAATTTTTTTTTTTAAAGAACATGAAAAATGTTTCAAACCACTCATCAATTGGACCAAGTAATGTCGTAGACAAAGTCATTTCAACTAACCAATAAGCACCATTGTTTTCCCCAAAAATAAAAATACATGCAGGAATGTGAGATCAGAATCATGCCCATTTTGCAGAAGAAGCCTGAAGAGAGTGAGTCCAACAGATCTGTGGGTTGTGATCGACAACAACGAGGTGGTCGACAGACTCACGGTTTCAAAAGACAACCTCAGACGCTTCTATCTCTACGTTGAATCTCTGCCTCTTCTCACTCACGATGCTCATGATGTCTTCGTCTTCAACTGTATGCTCTGATTCCAACCATCTCTGTAGATATCATCATCTTCAATAAACATGTATTCATGTGTCATATGTATTATTTACAGTAAGATGATATTGACATGAGATGATTCTCCAGGTTAATTCATGCTTTGTAACTCAGCTTTTTGGAACCTGAGTTCTGTTATTCATGCCTGTATATACATGAATAGCGTCTGTACGCATGGAATATGTTCATATACAATGGATATTCCTGTTTGTTTTTCTTTTATTTTCCTTGCATATATATATATATATATAGATGAGTATTGCTAATAATTACTTTCAAAGTCAATGACTCTTGTAGATGGGAGAATTTTAAATAAGGTTTAGGGATGTGATTTAATTACTAGTGGGTCTCAAAAAAATTTAAAATTTTAATTTAGTACAAAAGGATACAAGTGAAAATCATTTTAATTGAAAAAATATTAAAGTACCCTTCATTGGTTATATAAAATCATTAATTATTAATTTTCTTACTTTATTGATTAATTTATTAATATGAGTTACAAATTATATAAATTAACATGTCTATATAATTATACAATAGTTGACATCAGTTGTTCAATCACAAATAGCAACATCAATTTTTAAATTGTTAACTCTATTTGTTAATTTACTAACATCAGTTGTAAATTATTGATAAATCTTATAAACTTACATTAGTTGTAAATTATTGACAAGTCTTGTAATTTATAATGATGTTACTAAATTAACAAGTAAAGTTAGCAAATTAACAACTAATATTACTGCTTGTTTGACAAATACATGTAATTTACAAGTTATATTGGCAAATTAATAAGTAAAGTAAGAAAATTAATAACTAATAATTTTGCATAATAAATGAAGAGTACTTTAATCTTTTCATCTTTGAAATTATTTTCACTTTTATTTTTCTAGACTGAACTGAAATTTTTAATTCTTTTTAGACCCATTAGTAATTATAAGTTACATACCTAATCACTATTTGAAATTCTCTCCTTTTAGATTGGGAGGAGATAAGCTAAATCAGAAGGAAATTAGGTCACTGCAATGCAATAAAAAGTCTATTTGGATTTTAGTTAGATATAATTGACTATGAAAATAATTAATTAATATGGTTAATTTCAATCATAATTGATTATGTTATGGTGTAATTTGTTTAGATAATATTTTTTAAAATTAATTTTAATAGAATTAAAAATATTTGAATAATTTAGTTAGAATTAGTTTTAACAGTAGAAATTACTATAAACAACATTGGTTTCTAAAATTAAATTATTAATAAATTTGTATCTAATATTATTAAATTTGTTAAATTTTATTTAAGAAATAAAATATATTATTTAAATTACATATATGATTAGTTAAAAAGTTTAAATTATATTAATATTAAGATTTTAATTTACGTAAATAAATAACTCAATGTATCTTAGTTAAATAAATTTAATAAGAAAAAGATTTAATATTTAATACCGAACATCAATTATACAATAATTAATGAAGATGATAATATACAAATTGATCTCAAATAACACAATGAATATGAGTTATATTTGATGAAGATGTTATGGATGATGGTAAGAATGAATATTCATCAATGTGATGATCTTCTTAATTTTCATGTTCTATTTAATCTTTCTTTTCATGACACATAAAATCAGAGTTAGAATTGAATTGTTTTTTAATGAAATTATTTATCGTGATTGATACAAGCTAAACATCTAAACCCTTCCTTGATTTAATCGTTTATTTATTTATTTATTTTGATTTAAAAAAAGGCGCTTCTTTTATTTTTGATATACAAAAGTAAATAAATAAAAGATTATGTCAATGGGCCTTTGCCTTGCCCTCGTTTTGCATGCGTGCCTATCGTATAACAGCTTTCTCAGCTGTCGTCTTCTTCTTTTACATGTAAGCCCATCTATTCCCTCCTCTTCTTCCCCTTCTCTCTCTCTCTCTCTCTCTCTCTCTCTAAATCTCAATTTCAGAATTGTATTAATTCATTTCTGATCAGAATGGCCAAGAAAGATCAGAAAAACGGTACATGCAGAGTCGAAGCTGCTCTTCACCTCATCAAAAACAATCACCACTCACTCTCAAACAGGTCTATCATTCAACACTGGACATATACATATATGCTCATATATAATTAACTTGTTTGTTTGATTAATTTTGCAGGAGAAGTTCTGCAACTATGCTTGTGTAGAACGGTTTCTCAAAGCAAGTAAAGATAATGTCAAGAAAGCTGCCAAGCAACTCAGGGCGTTCCTCTCTTGGAGACACACTATAGGCATCGGTATATATATATATATATATATATATGTATATATTCTTCTCCTCTCTCAGATTCTCTCGCTGCAGAAACTTCATTTTTGTTTTTAAAACAGAGCATCTGATGGCGGATGAGTTCGCGGCTGAAATCGCCGAAGGCTTAGCGTATGTGGTTGGTCAGGACGATGAATCCAGACCTGTAATGGTAATTTCACTTCTTCTTCTTCTTCTTCTTCTTTCTCTGTAGATTTGGTGATTTGAAAATGAGATTTGGCTGCATCTTCAGATTTTCCGGATGAAGCAGGGCTACCGTAAGTCACGTTCTCAGAAACGTAAATCAATTCGTCATCTTGTTCGATGCAACTAAGTGCCTTCATTTCATATATATATATATACACACACAAACAAAGGACTTCTGAGAGACACTACAACAAGAAGGAGCCGCTGAGACGAGAGACGGGAGACCAGAGAACAGAAACCAGAGACGGGAGACGGGAGTGAGAGAGGAGAGAATTAACGTGTAATAACAAACGGGTAATTTTGGCAGGTGCAAGAGTCTGACAAATAATTAAAGCTTTAACGGTAAAATTGAATTATCGAAGCACCCTCCTTCAGCTCATGATAAAACACAATTTTTTGCCTTAATAATCAATTATCACCATTTGAATCTGTTTGGCTAAATTCTATTTAACTCGATTATTTGGCTCAAATAATTGATTAATTGATGAATCCAACCAGGCAGAAAAATTATGGGAAAATGACAGTAAAGTCCCTTTAAATTAGCTAATTGACTAATTGATCCCGTAAAATGATATAATTTCCCTTAAGTCCCTGGGGATCATTTTGTCATTAGGAAATTTGAAGAAATGACAGTTTTGCCCTTAATTCAAATGAAAAAAATGTCCTTTCCCCCATTTTCAGTTGTGCTTTGTCTCTCTGCTGACTTTAAGTGCTTTGTCTCTTTGGTCTTTGCCATCACTTGTCATCTGAGCTTTGTGAGCTTCCGTCACCGTCTTGCCATCACAGTGTCATCATTGCAATGTGGCTATAGCATTCTCGTTTGCAATTTCATTGTTCTCCAGCAGCTTTGGCCGTCAGCTTTGTCTCAGTATTCTCGATAGTGGATCTGTTGGTGTTAGTTTATGGATGCGTTTGTGTTCCCGGTAGTAGTAGCTTCTCTCCTGCTCTCCAATCACAGTTGATTAAGGTGTTTATTCCTCTTCTTAGCTTCCATAGGTATTTATTCCTTCGTGGGTGTGATTAGTTATCTAGGTTACTTTCATGATAATCAATGCCTCAATAATCTTAGCAAAATAAATCAATGAATTTTTTTAATTAAATATAGACATAATTGTATTGCATTATTTTGTTATCATGGAAAACTGCCACCCATGTCCTGCAACTTAGATTGTAAGGTAAAGTCATGAAATGGTGGCAGTAATTAACAAGGAATGTGATGATTAGATGATGCTAATTTTTTTCAAGGTCTTTAACTTGGATGACTTCCCTCTCTTGAAGACCAAGTTCATTATATTATACTAGGGTTGCAACTGATTGCAAGGAAACAATCATGTAAAGTGGAATTGATGAAACATTCAATGCTAGTTTTATTCCCAAAAGTTTTAATTTTTGCATTCCATAGCTTGTATTGGTTTAGTCCTATGTCTATTGAGAAATAGTATGAAATCTATATAGTTTTGCTATGAAAGCTTACATGTATACCCCTAAACAGGTATGTTGCTTCTTATTTCTTGTGCTCTATTGGTTGGACTCTTTGTACTTCAACACTGTGGTGCCCACAATATGGCCTTCGTGTTTCCTCCCATTATGATCCTATAGTGACTGTTTATGTTGAGATCTGATTTCTCCCCCAATTTGAACTTCAATTATTATGGTTTGACTTTTTTAAATGTTAGTGTGTAATTGGAGGCTTATTTTTTTGCAGCTGCTTTCTTGACTCTTGACAAGTTATGATTGCATTTTGAAAAATTTAGTTACATCTTCCAGCTTATGCCTTTCCTTCTCTATACTTTTGGAAATGATTGTTTCATAGTCTCATCAAATTAGGTTACATAGTAATCTTCCTATGTTCCATGCGATGCAAAATTCACTGTTAACTGTTGAACATTGGTGTGGGAATTAGAGATCATTTCTTCCATTTTATTTTTTGAGAAAAATATACCATATTTCTTTTAATTTTTCTTGTCATGTAACCCACGCTGCTAAAGGCTTGTATCAAATTCGTGTGAACTATCTTTTTTGTATATATGTATTTCTGTCTAGTTAGCTTAAGCTGTATAGTTTGAAGGATAGGAATAAAAGGAAGGGAAATTTATATTACTAACTAGTACCAACCTCTTGAACAAATAACCTAGTTAAGTAAACAAACAAATTAATTAATGGAGCTGAATTGTTTGTTTACTTGTTAGTATTGGTTATTATATTGATCCATTTATCCAAAATATATGTGTAGTAATATTGGACATAAGGAAGAAAGCTTAAGGTTTTGTGAAATTTGACCATTTCATCCTTATAATTTTGACCAATGTTGTCATCCTCTTGTTTCATTAGCCCAATTTATGTGAAGAAAATAATAATGACATTCGCAATACTCATATCTTGATTTTGGTATGATTTTGTTTGACCTTTGTTGCTGTGACTAGTGTTTATTGTAAATTATTGATAGGGAGACTTGATTGTTTAGGATAGGGAAGATGGTGAATGCATTAAGTCTTTTTGAGAAGGATTTTCTCAAGGAAAATGGAGATAAATATAAGAAAATAAGGTTGAAACATAGAATAAAATATGAACTGAAGGCGTGGGAAGAGTTGCTAGAGGCTGAAAAGGCCAAATATATTGAGAAGGCTAGGCAATTAAAAACTGATAGACATGCTGGAAAAAATAAATACAAGGTTCCTTTTCACACGAGGTGCTCTGTGAGGTAGTTTATAGAGCTTGTAGAGTTTGTGAAAGAGAATGAGAACCTAAGAATGAGGGTAGAAAACATCAAGTTTAGGGTGCTGCTTGATATCCAATAGAAAACATTCCTTCGAGACCTCTACTACTAATTAATATCTTCATATGATCTACCTACCCTTCAATTTCGCATTAGAGGAAAGTCAAAAGAAATGAAAGTAGAAGATGTTCACACATTGATGGGATTACCCTTTGGAGGGGATAGGGTGTTAATAGAGGTGGATGATTAAGAGGAAGCATTCTTGAGGTTAAGGGAAAAATATTACAAAATGCCATATAATAAGATATTGGCATTGATTAAATTTGGAGCAGAGGATGAGAGCTTTGAGTTTTGATTTTTGTTGTACACATTGAGAATACTTTTATGTCCGAGTGTTAGTGCTAACGTTAGTGAGTGGACAATTAAGGTAATGTATTGCACCAAGAATGCATTGAAAGACTTCAATTGGTCAATATATATATTAGATGACTTGTGTGATGAATTGAAAGAGTATTATTTGAAACAAATGAGGAAAAAGAAGGATATGACTGCAAACATTGGAGGATGCTTGTACTTTCTAGTGGTATGTATAGATGAATTTATGGTATTCTTTTCATTGTAATGCGTTCATACTAAGTATAATGTGATAATTATATGTATGTTCTTATAGATCTATTTTTTTTGAGCATTTCCCATTGGTCAAAACAAGTGACCATGATTTAAAAAATGCTGTCTTATATTGGATCGATAGCAAAGCGAAGGAAAGACTATAAAAGGAGAGAGACAACAATATTGGGTTGCTTTATGGTGCTTCTACAGGGGAGCCCACTTCCACCGTCACCAAGAAGAGACCGATGACATCATATCCAGACTCGATATTTATTTCTCACTATTTTGGACAAAATTGCATTTAAAACAAGTTTTTTTCTATTTATATTTTGTAAATGTGCATAAATTAAAGGACTTATTTTCAACAATGATGAGGGTTATTGAAGAAAACCACCAAAGATCAATTGCTTATGTTGAATCTGCGTTCAGAAAGGAGCAGACAGTAAGGGAAGCATCTCAAAAATCAAAAGGGGAAGGCAAGTCAAGTGTTGAAGTTGAGGAAGAAGATGATCGGGTGGGATATGGTAGTAAAGACAAGCTAGCCTTTGAGTTTCAAGAACAAGACAAGGCAAATTTTAAGTTTAAAGAAGACGGAAAAGAAGAAGATAGAGGTGATGAAGAAGAAGAATATGGAGGATACGAAGAAGAACAAGAAGATAAAAGAGAAGACGAAGAAGAAGATGATGATGAAAAGGAAGGTAGAGGTGATAAAGGAGAAGGAGAAGGAGAAGAACAAACTGATAACTTGTCATCTCTAATTCATGTATCTTCTTAAGAAGAGGACGAAAAGGAAAAATCAGATGAGGAAGTTAAGGAAGATGATGGTAAATGACAACTTAGGAGATCTATAAGGACAAAAATACCAACTCTTAGGTCTCCTTGAGTTCTATCAAAGCCGGTGAATAGGACAAAGAAGAAGATTGATGAAAAGCAACAATTATTTTCAATTGTATCACACATGTGTAAAAGGGAGGAAGGTGACGAGTAAGTAGTCTTTATTGCCTAATTTTTCATTCATTTCCAACAGCTTAAGAGAAGTTATTTATTATTCCCTATTTCAGGATCTTGGTTGAAATGCATGATCAATATCTCACTCGTGATGAACTTCGATGTTTGGGAGGAATGCAATGGATTAGTAACAGGGTGAGACAGTGTCTGATTTTTTTTTATAATTTACACATAGTAATGTACAAATAACATGAACTCCTTGGTGGTTGTAGTTCATGACTATGCTATGCCATGCATTAATGGGTGATATCAAGGATTCAGGTCCAGTCCGTCATCATATATTTGATGCTGACTTCATGGTTAGCTTCCAATGAAATTAAATTTAAAATGTCCTCTTTATTATGTTTTGTTTTTTTATAATTTGTTGCATAATGTATTCTTATTTGTAGTGTAAAATGATATCAAATCCCTCATTTGGAAGGCAATAAAGAATAAGAGGGATATCCTACCTGAATATGTAGGATACAATATAGCTGAATGTGATTTCATCATCGGTCCAGCTCTTGTGAACCATCATTGGATGTGTTTGTGCTAAAGCTGAAGACATTGAACTTCTATGTCTTCGACTCATTAAAGGAGGATAGTGGTCTTGAACCAAGGAGAAAGAAAAGGAAAAAGGATGGAGCTTTATATGTAAAAGGATTATTGGTGAATGCACGTGTATGGTCTATTAATCAACTCCTTGGTATGTCTTGTGTGCATGTTGTTTTGATAATATAAATTTGTTTCCTTTGTAGCAAAATAGATTCTTCGACATCATTAAGTTAGTAAACCCAAGCTTGATTGGGAAGAAACTAATAGCTGATGTTATTTGGCCTCCGGTACCCCAATAAAATAATCTGTGCGTTCTCCACCTATTGTTACAACTTTTCTTGTTCATGTAGTACCTTTATTTCCTTTGACCAATTGTGATTATTATTTATATGCTGCATGTTTGTAGAAAAGATTGTAAAGTTCTCATCATAATTTGGTTGAAGACATGGGATCCCACAGTGTTGCAAGACATCACTAATGTACGCTTACATTTTCTTTGATGTTGTTCTTTCTACTTTAGGGCTGTTCTTTGTTTGTGTGTTTCTTCTTTCAACTTGTGTGTTATTCCTTCTTTGGTGCAAGAAGAAGTTACTAACTTTAGGATTGAGCTTTTATGGTGGATGATTAATCATTTAGAAAACCAAAAAAAAGAAAGTGGCCTTAAAATTACTTGATAAAGGGAAGCCAAGGAAGAGAAGGGGGTGGCCACTTTAGTATATAAAGAGGGATGTTAATATTTGTCAATGACTGCTTAGTATATAAAGGTATAGCTACTGTTTGAATATTTGTTAATATGTGTTTTCTTAGCAATACTTTGATGCATTTGGCTGGAGCATAATGCCTAAAGCTGTAAGGCTGCTATGTTGCCTTCAATCTTATATGATCAGATTTGATCATACTTTAAAATTACCTATACCAATTGATACTAATGTTGCCTTTAATGAATGAAGTGAGTTTATAGTTGATCATAGTTAGATTGTAGTCGAATGAATTGTAATTATATATATATATATATATATATATAAATTATAGTTTTGACCTTCGATAAAAAAAGGTAATTATATAACCAAAATAATCAAGTGATTATAAAGATACAATTTTTTATAATTTTAAAATTTTAAAATTAAATTATTTCACAATAAGTTTAAACTATTCAACATATTATTTCTTGTAAGTTTACTAGTTGATTCATTTCACTAGTGTAATGAAAAAATGAGAAATTAAGTGTGTTTGATTTTTTATTAAAAGTTTGTTCATCAATATAAAAGTGTGTTTGGTATTTTTACCTTTTTTAATTTTTAAAAGTTAATGTTGAATATAAAACATAGGTAAACTAAATTAATAAAAAAATTAGGGAAAAAAATTAGCAAGGGAAGTTTGGTACTTGAAAATTCACAAGCCCTCGTTCATAACTTTGGTTCCACTATTAACAAGTTTTGTTCTTATATTCGCAATAATTTATTAGCCATTCGCAAATCCTGGTATGCAAGTTCAGATAAGCATTAAAGTTGGAAATGCGCAAGCCTTCGTTCACAACTTTGGTTCCATTATTAACAAGTTTTGTTCCTATATTTACAACAATTTATTAGTCATTCACAAGTCCTGGTGTGCAGTCCAGACAAGTATTAAAGTTGGAAATGCGCAACACCCTATTCACAACTTTGGTTTCACTATTAACAAGTTTTGTTTCTATATTTGCAACAATTTATTAGCCATTTGCAAGTCTTAGTGTGCAAGTCCAAACAAGCATCAGAGTTGGAAATGCGCAACACCCCGTTCACAACTTCAGTTCCATTATTAACAAGTTTTCTTCCTATATTTGCAACAATTTATTAGCCATTTGCAAGTCCTAGTGTGCAAGTCTAGACAAGCATTAGAATTGGAAATGCACAACACCCTGTTCACAACTTAGGTTCCACTATTAACAAGTTTTGTTCCTATATTCGCAACTATGAAATAAGGAATTACAATTTATCAGCATCCTCTGTAAATTGACTGAATCAGCAAAAAATGAAATACCACTCTAATTCAACAACTAACAACTTTCATTAATTTCAATGACAATAAAAACCTTAAAAAGTGATATAAATGACTCTAAGGTTTCATTGTTAGTTACATAATCCACAACTTGCATCAAAATATCCTATAACCATTTTGACAAAAATATATGAAGGGTTGAATCTTCTATACATAAGAAGTTTTAACTTTGTTATATTCACAATCCAAGAAAACAATAGTCATCTTTGCACACTGTACAGGACAAAAGACAGCTGAATTCACAAACTATATGCAAAAAAGGTGTCATATCTACATCATATCCTAGATTGGATTAGGATTCCTACAAGTCTTATGTGTATGGCCTGGTTGATGGCATAGTGAACAGTGATAAGTCTTGTTCTAAAATTGTGACTCCTTCTTAGAAGTTCGTGGCCTCCTAGGAGGACGATTGGTCCTTGGAGGTTGGAGGAAGACTTGGCCCTTAATATTTAGAATGTTGTAGTTATTTGGATGAGGTATGTCTATTGTAACAACAAGAATCATGCTATAACATTATATCTTCTTTTATGCGGTGATTTTGTAACAATCTTCCACATGACTATACATATTGCCATGTGTTAGCTTGATGGCAGAGCAAGCGTGTGGACAAGGAATCCCTGACATTTGCCATGTTGAATAGCAGCATTCACGTAAGCCAAGATCAACACGCAAGTCTTCATATGTAATATATGTACACAAACCCTATTTCCTTCATAATGCTCTGCAAACATTTGTTTAGCTCTAGCCATGTAGTCTCTTAGTTTTGCCTCAGTCTTTAGACCAATACCATTTTTTCAAGTAGAGAGAGCCATTTTAGATGTATGCATTTTGTGTGTTACCTTTTATCTATGCTCATGAATCAATTGTACAACATCATGCCTTCTCTCAGTGACCATCCATAAATTAAATGACTACAAGATTTGTGGTTATATTGTCCCATCTTCTATATAGAAACTTAAATAAAGTCCACCTATCAATGTCTCCATGATTTTCAAGCCATTGAGCCAATTCTGAACTGAAATTTCTCATGTTTCCCATTACTTCATTAAAATCATTCTTAAGCCTTGCATATGTGATGCCATTAAGCAAGTTTAATGTATCATCCTTGCCCTGCCCACTTGTCCTTCTCTTACCTTTATTAATTTTCAAAAAATCTGCACTAAAATTCTCCTTAATGTGATGGCAACAAAATGCATGTTTCTCACCTCTAAAGATAGCTTGAACAACACTTATTATGGCATTGTGTCGGTTTGAAACTATTGTGAGTTGCATTGAGCTTATTATTATTTTTCACCATGTACAAGAACCAAGTCCAATCTTCAAGTGTCTCCCCTTTCACAATGGCATAAGCAAAGGGAAACAACTTATTATCAACATTATAAGCAAATGCTGACAGCAAAGTCCCCTTATAAGGACCACTTAGATGACTACCATCTATGTATAATATGTGTCTTGCACCATGCATGAACCTTTCTATACAACAGTCATAAGCTATAAAGACACGCTCAAACCTGTTACTGTTAGCTATAGCCCACTTAACAACTATTTTTGGGTCTGTTTCTACTAACCAGTCATAAATCCATGGAATTAACATATAAGATTGGTCGGGTCTATCATGGATCTCTTCCAACGCCTTCCTTTTGGCTCTATATACTTGTCGATAAGTCAGATTAACACCATATTCTCTTTACAACTCTCTCTTAATGTCATTAGGACGTTTGTCTACATGAGACCTCACATCCTCAAGTACAATACATGATATTAGACTAGAACTTCCCCTGTGAGTAACAATCAAACTGTCTTGTGCATAATATATGTGCTCATTTTTAAACGTCTTCACATGTAGAAATAAATTTTCCTTTCCCATTACATATGCTGTGATCTTCTAAGGGCAGCCTTTAATGTCACATATCACTCTCATCTTCTTTGTACTATTGTTCTTATATTTGTATGGAAACTTATGAGCAATGCTATATTTATACAATGCTTTTCTAAAGGCTTCAGTATGGGGAAAGGTTTGCCTTACACTTAATAATAAATCCCTCCAATTAGAAGAATTAAGTTATAGAATCGGTGTAGGTGAACTTTCTACTCCACATGGTAATGTTAGAAGTTTTCCATAAGTTTGGTATGTTACACATTCTACCTCGCTTTCAAAAGCTACATGTTCGAAATCATGATTTTCAATAGGAGGAGAGGAGAGTTTGGATCTGAAAATGACAAGAATTGCTCCATCCTACATTCACAATCCATAAAACTTCATGTCTCATTTACACTTGCATTGACAATCACAACTTTAGTTACTAAAATAACAACTATGCTATAGTAAATGACAACTTTCTTTACAGGAATTAAACATAGTAACTTACATTAGTGCTTCCTCAATTGTTGTTTTTCCATTGCCATTTCCTTTACAACCTATATATGCATGATTGCTTTTAACATTATGCTTAAATAGGGTAGCAATTCCACCATCATCAACAAGGTCTATAAGGGTCATTTTATCATATCTTACAGTATATTTCATGTTGCTCAAATTAGTGTCAATGCTAAAATAAGATGATATCATTATTTTGAATTCTTCAAGTGTCATCCCTTCTCTTATCACTTTCACTCTCACACTCCCCCTATCATATTATATTTTACCTTTAATATTTTTTTAGAAAATATCCCCTTATGTGGAAATAACAAAATAGTTCCTTTCCAAAACAAGAAGAAGAAGAAGTCATTTCTCATGCCAACTTGAAATAATGAAATATTCATTCATCAACATGTCTATTTTTTAAATATCATGATCACATATCTATTGTGTTTTATCCAATAACAACTATTGTTCTTATATTCACAACTTTATATTTGTTATTTACAAATTTTGCTTTATGCATTTACAATAGAACTAAAAATGACATATCATTTATCATCTATCATCTATCATTTATTCATGTTGAGTAAGCATCAATACCCATATTTTTTAGCTTTAAGCATGAAGAGAAAATAAAGACCTCAATCATTTACGTACAATAACTCACATCAACTTCAACTATCACATATAAGAGGAGAAAATTTCAAGGAGGAGAGGAAATATACTCACGTACAGCAAACCCAACAGAGAAAGATTGCATGCTAATATATACCTACGTGCAGTAGCCAATCAACACAAATAACCCATGTACAGAAACTTAAAAAAAGGAACGCAAGAACGAGAACAAGAAGGAGAGGAGAAGAAAGAGAAGGAGAAGGAGAAGGAG